ATCAGAGTGTTCCATCTCATTTCCCTTTGGGGTTGCTGTAGGTGATCTGGAAGTCTGGTTTTGAGACTTATTTACGTGTTTTCTCATTTCGACTGGGAGGGTGGGGGGCAGTGCTGTTGGTGCCCCTGAGGATCACCTCCTCTGAGCTGAGAGAGGTGGGACAGGGCCCGGGAGCGGCGGTAGGGATGGTTGCCCAGAAGCTCCTTCCTCTGGGCTGAGAGAGGCGGGACAGAAGGCGGCCCAAAAGCCCTTTCCTCTGGGCTGGGGGCAGTCGGAGGGATGGCGGCCCAGAAGCCCCTACCTCTGGGCCGGGAGCGGCGGGACCCAGTAACATTGTCTGGTGGTCCGGTGTCCTTTGCGTCTTTGTAGTGTGGAACCAGGTGGCTGTACAGAGGAGTGGGGTGGTGGTGGTGGTGGTGGTGGTGGGGGTGTCCAGTGGATTGTTGCCGGGCCGCGGGTGTGTTCCGTGCGACTCGCAACCTCGGTAGGGCGTCCACAGACCTGCCTGTCTGCGGCGGGCCCTTTTGCTTTTTTTTTTTCAGAAGCACTGCCAGTGGAAGACGTAGAAGAAAAACCCAAACAACACACCAAAAAGGAAGAGACAGATAGGCTACCCACCAGTGTCAAACCTCGACAGCAGCCAAGTGCCTTATTTGCCAGAGGAAACAGGAAAGCCCCCAAAAGTCCCCAGAGGTCATTGAGTAAAATAAAAGAAAACAAGCACCCCTTTGCTCTTTACGGCTGGGGAGAAAGACAGACAGACACTGGGAGCCAGAAGACCCACAATGTCTGTGCATCTGCCCCTGTGCGTGAGGTGAGCCTGGCCACGGTCTTGCTCTCCCCTTGGAACATCACTGGGCATCACTGGGCCACTGGGTTGCTCTGGAGGTGTTATGGGGCCTGCTTTACCAGCAGGAGGTTTCTTGGTATTGGTTGCTTGGAGAAAAGGGGTTTTGGGCTGGTGGCAGCTGGTGCCGGCAGGGTTTTCTGACCCCACACTGGAGACATCATAGTTCTCCAAGGCCCAGAGGTACAGAGGAGCAGCACAACCAGGGCTGGCAGCTGCCCACTGGGATTTGCCATTGGCCTCTTGAGAGGTCTCCATTTCCTTCAGGTTTGATGACCTGGCACCTTGACTTCTTTATCATTGGTGCTTCTTATTGCCCAACACCTACTGGAGCCTTCCCTTTGCTCTTCTGAGCAAATCCCACTGTTTTCCCTTTTGTCCTTATTGGGTACATTTTGCACCCAGGAGCTTGTCTCTGTCAGAACCTGAAACATTTCAGAAGAGAGGACCCTCATGTGTGTAATTGTGGAACAGTTATGTATATTAGCATTGTTACTGTGACTGCAGCCCAGAGCAAGGGATGCATTAAAAGAGGCAGGAAGAAGAAGTGCAGACTGTGAATTGTGATTAAACAATCAGAGTTTCACTGAATAGGCTCTGGGCTCAGCAGATGGTGTTATTTGCAGTGAAATTTGAGACTGGAGTCTGTTCTCTAACAAAGGACCTCTGACAAGTTCCTGGGATTGATTTAATAGGATTTATCCTGTCAAGGGACAAAGGATGGTAAAATCCCTTGACATTGCTTTGTGTGCTACTTAAAATATTGAAATTTCACTTAATGAAACACTTATGCATGCTTTGTGGAAAGTAGTTCCAGCAGTTTCCTGGAAGTAATTTTAGAAGTATATACAAATTAGTCACTTAAGACTTCTATCTAAAGTTTAATTTTCTGTGGCTCAGTTTTGCTGTTACTGGTCATGGGTGAGCAATAGCACCAGGTGGGGGGGGGAATGGCTTTTCTGGGGAAGCTTTTATACAGAATTGTGAACATAGAGGCGGGGCTTGATGCCCTGTTTCAGGCAACCTGGGGATGGGTAGAGTCACTGTGTATATTCTTAAAAATTAGTACCAAAGCCACTTAAGTCATTATACTTTATATTTGAACTCTCCTTAGATTCATGAGTCAGCATTACGAGCCAAGAGCAGAAGACAGGTGGAGAAACGGAGACTGGCTGCACAGCGGCAGCGTGCCCACTCAGTGGATGTGGAGAAGAACAGAAAGATCAAGGCCTCCCCAGGGTCTTTGGCAGACAACCCTTGGGTGACCGAGTACATGCGATGCTACTCGGCCAGGGCATAGATAAGAAGACAAGACAAAAACTATTAAACCAGAGTGGACATAGGTTGAAGAAACCAACTGGTTATGCAAGGCTTTTCTTTGGGAATTTTCAAAAGATTATTTTATTTTGTTGAATATTGGTCACCTACCTCAGCAGTAGGGCAGACAGTTGAAGCCATAGACATTTGGTTATTTATGAAGACAAATCCCTAAACCTCTGATATTCTTGGAAGAGTTTTGTTTTAAAGCATCTTAATCTTTTAATATACTGACACCAAATGCCTTTAATTGGCTACAGATGCTTACCATCCCATGTCCTCTACAAGGAAGGTGGAGCCCGTTATCATCCTGTTCCCAGTTACTTCAGATGCCATGGTAGTAAGATCATTCCATCCTCCAACATAAGACTCATTTTTACTTACTTCGGTGTACTTTTCTTTGCGAAAAAGCATCAAAGAATTTGTAATGAAACTGGAACTTTGGTAGATCCTGAGAAGTCAAATTTGTATTTTAGTTCACATCACTTTCATGTAGATTGTGATATTTAAAAATTATCTGGGCTGGGTGAGGGTCACTTTTTCTCTTTACATTATCATCTAGGCACTTAATAGTGTAATAGTTCAGATACATTCCAGTAAGTGAGTGGCAGTGCAATATGTGTGTAGAGTAGTAATGAAGCTTCTTTTGAGTCAAAGAGTGTCACATTTTCTTAATTGCAAGATTTTTTTTTAAGCACACACAAGGTACAGTCTGGTCTTTTGACATGCACCCGCTGTGGACTTTTGCCTCTTCTGTAACAGCTGGCCATGACATTGGGAACTTAAAATCTGAAGTTATGTGTAATGCACTGAGATTGTTTGGTCCATGGAGGGGGTGCAATAGTAAGACACCCATTAGGGATGTTGCCCACCCCCACCCCATCCCCTTGCTGTCTGTACTTTTTCTTCTGAAGAACTCAACAAAGTCTTGATGTACAATACTTTAGGTTGAATACATTACTATTTGATTCCTGGCTGGTAGATCTTAGCTAAACCTTAACAGGAGAGTGGTGCAATGTGTAAATAGTGCTTCTTCCCTTTAGTATAGCTGCTTTTTGGGTAAAAAAATGGTTTTAGAAAAAGATTGTTTCTCATCAAATGGGAGTGTTCTCTGTCCTGCACAAGAACATCTCCTAGAAGGATTTGTGGTATGTTCTTTCAAGATCAGAAAGGTACCATGCCTATGCCCGCTTAGCGTCTGAAGACGTGTGGATGAAAACTTGGTGTTAGGTGTGAGGTTGAGCTTATTCTTGATATTTTTACTCTGAGACTTTGAAGTATGATAATTTTCAGAACACAAGCTGGTTACATTTCACATAAAACTGTCACATTGTCATCTTGTAACTGTTGAGCTTTAAAGATGCATACTGAAGGATTGTGAGGGTTTAAGAAAAAAACCCTTTAAGATATTTGTGAATTTTTGCATAGTCCCTTCATGTAGAGAGTTCTAGTCATTGATATGTATATTTAATGAGAAAATTCTACATGTTGTCCAATACGACCTTGCTCATAATTCTGGTGGATTGTGGTGGTAACCCTTGTAAGTCTGCACACTGCAGGTATGCGAAGATCATGTGACTGTGGCACCTGTGACGACGGTTAGGCTGTTTTGTGAAAACTTCCTGTAGAGCCATGTCTCGCAGGTCATCTTGCCATCCATTGTGGATGAGTCACATGTGACAGTGTCTGATGGGTTGGGAGTGGCAAAGCCCTCATAGGTGGGCTGCCTAACCTACCAGATTGTGAATAGTTGGACTTTCTCGCTAGCTTAGAAAACAGACTTGCGTTTGTGCTTAACACTGAAAACTCCAAACGGAGGAGGTGGATCTAGAAGACAATATTGTGTACCACCCTCCCTTTTTTTTAAGTAGAGGAAAAATAAACACAATTTTTGAAGAATTTTTAATGCACCCCAAAACAAGTAAGTATGAATTAGTTATGAATCCCCCTCCTATGTTCAAGTGCTTAATGGTTAAGATTTCTTTTCCCCTTTTTAAAAAAGACTGGCAATTATCTTTTGATACTTAAAATTATCTATGAAATTTTTAAAGTTCTAATAATTTTATGGTCATACCTTTTTTATTCTAAGAAGTAATGTGGTTTTAATCATGTTTCTAATTCTTGGGACAAAATGCAAGATAGTGAGAGTTCAAAATTACCTTTCATGTTGGAAAATGTCTAAAAATGTTTGAGAATCAAGTGAAATTTAAAAAATGCTACATAAATCTTTTTAAATTTTTAAGTTTTTAATTAAAACAATTTGTCCTAAACATATTTTTGATTTTTTTGTGTTACTTTTACCTGAAAATTAGTAATAGAATATTAAAGTAATAATGTCTAGCACTCTATAGGACCTGAGTGATTAAGAAGAAAATATGAATCTATTCTTCTGACTACTCTTGTTCAGAAGGTGTCTGAATATGTCATTCCTGGTTGTTTGCTCACTTACGCCATAAAATTCCTGAGTACTTTCATGGTTTCTTTTTTTTTTTTTTTTTTTTTAGTGCCTGGGATTGAACCAAGGGCCTTGGATATGCTAGTCAAGCAGTCTACAACTAAGATATATCCTCAGCCTTTCATATTTTTTTATTTGAGATAGGGTCTTGCTAA